GAATAAAAGCTCTCTACATTATGTAAGTATCTCAAAGGCTTATCTTTAATGTGAATAATCTGCTTTTTTAAAAAAAAACTGGATTTAACTATGAACAAAGTTTTGCATATGCAGTCAGTCATGAATCATCAATGTATATTAAAAAATCTGTCTCATAAACTTGTACTGTTTTCATCTCTTTTCAAAAATTATAATGAAATTTATTTCTCCATAAGTAAGAACAGTACAGGTATTTATTCCTTTTTTTTTTTTAAGTGCCTATTCAATTTTTAATGTAATTGTCCTGCATTTCTTTGATGGCAAGAAAAGGAATACAGAAAGGAAAAATCTGAAAACAAAACATAGCTGTTCAACTGCATGTATCTGAGAAGGCAAGTATGATTAGTTATATGATTCAGTCTGCACAGTTTTTCATAGTGAGTTTATCAATTCTCTAGCCAAGAATTAAAACATATCCATAAAAGGAGCCAGTGTCAGCTACAAATTATTATTACATCCAAGAAAAAAAAAGAAAGACTTAGAGTATCATGAATGTAGAGCATACTTAAGGTACTAAGGTTATGAAACTTATAAATTTAAGTTGAATCATAGTTCTAAAGTTCTACATAGAAGTTGGCACAAATTCAGTTTGTACTAGGAAATCTGCAAGAAAAGCACTGGGAGCATTTTTTTTTCTTCATAACTTTAAACTATTACAAAAATGGATGGATAAAAATACTCATAAAACATAGCAATTGTCCTAGTTTTCCTTCCCACTTATCTACAAAATGAAAACCTTACTCAAAGTACATTACCACAGCATTGGGTTGTCCAGGAATTGATACTGCTGGGATCATTGGCCGGGGATAAGATGGTCCAGGTGTGGCTTTTGGGGCCAAAGGTGCTATGGGAGTGGTTGGAGGAGCTGGGGCTGGTCTGGATTCAGTAATCTTGCCCTTTTGTTTCAACTGGACCAGGTTGAGAGCATCTCTGGAGATAAAAAGAAATCAGATAACTGTGATTAGCAACAAGATATATAAGACAGTTTTTATAAAATAGAAGAAATATGTGAAAGGAAGTTACAGAAATATAAAGACTAAAATATAATGCAAATCAATTATTTGAGCTAGAAAAGTAAATTCATTTCCTACATATTCTACAGCTTATTATTTGTCCAATGGCTGCATGTATATTTTCAAAAACTAAATAATAATTAGAATTTTATCAAAGTAGCACCTTTAGATATTAATTTTAAAAAATCGAATTAGTCTTTCATTGGAAAGGAATCATTTGGTAGATGACCAATTCACTAATTAAAACATGTCCTCATTCTTTATACTTGTGAAATAATTTTTACATAGTATTCAGAAAGTGTCAAGTTTAATATATGTATGGCTAAAATACTTACTAAATCATTATTTATTCTAGTGTAAATAATATCGTTTATGGCCAGGAAATCATATCATTTCAAATTTGTTCAATAAGCACAATCTTGTGTAATAAATGTAACCACAGTATCATTTACAATAAAAAATAACTAGTTACAGATTATCACTCTGTAATACAAATTTGTTTTTAAAAGGATACTGAATATGCCAAGAC